CCTCTGGCATATGGGGCCGGCGCCTTACTCCTTCGAGCCACAGGTGCTGCCCTGGCTTATCAATTTCTATAAAAGAAAACCTGCTGGCTATTAATTGGGCTTGTGTAAAATCTATAGATCAATTTTGGGGAAAATGACGTCTTAACAGTATTGATGTCAAATCCATAAATATGGTATATTTCTCTATTTCTTTAGGTCTTAATTCCTGTCAGTAATGTTTTGTAGCCTTCATGTAGAGGTCTTGCATATCTTTTGTTAAATTAATGCTTGTTTTATATTTCATGATGTTATTGCACTTATTTTTTCATTTCATTTCCAATTCTTACTGGTGATACATAGACATAAATGGATTTTGGAAAATTGACCTTGTGTCCTGTAACCTTAATATATTTATTAGTCATGGTACTTTTTTTATAGGTCTCTTGGGTTTTCTATATACATAACCATGTTGGCTGAGAGCAAAGACAATGTTACTTCTTTTCTCTAGCATTATGCCTTTTGTTTGTTTATATTGTTGCTGGATTTTCTTTTTGGGGGTCGGGTGGGAGGGAGAGGCTTAGTTAGTGGTTAGTGATGAGGGTAGACACCTTGTTTTTGATCCTACAGAGAAAGTGTTCACTACTTCATAATGGATAAATTTAGTGGTAGGTTTTCCATAGATGCCTTTTGTATTAGATTCCTAGGGCTGATGTGACAACATAGGAAGAACATAAACAGACCCACCAATGGTGCCTCATTCTATCACTATTTCTGACCCATGAGTAACTGCTATTCTATTTCCTGCAGATTGAGGAGATTTGCCTATTTTTATAGACTTCCACCTATGAATCTCATGATATGTGCTGTTTTGTGTCCAGCATCCTTGTGTGGTGGGGAGAGCCACCCACGTGGTGTATATCGCCAGCTGGTTCATTCTCAAGATTATTTGGTGTTCTATCATGTACCACAATGGATATATATTTGGAATATATCCAGTCTGGGGCTATTACAAACATCCTGGCATGTGCCCTCAGTGATCATATATACACCTCCCTGTTGCGTATGTACTTACCTGGAAACTCAGTCTCATTTTTACATGTGTGGTATTTGCTTCTCAGACAGAAGGCTAGACTTTCACGGTGGAAGGCCATGTTCCTCCAAACCACTTTGCTTAAAAATAAAACCAAAACCAAAAACAAAACAAAGTTTCTACAGCTCTGACAGTAACACATACACCTTTCATAGTTATTTTAAGCACCCCTCAATTTTCTTGGTGTTCAAATTGTAGTTGGGTGGAATAATGCAACTTCCGTGGTGACATAAAACTGCCCATTAGGAATAGATGCTCTTCACAGCATAAGGCCAAGTTCCACACAGCAGCCACCAGAGGTGGTGGGCACCAGCTGTCAGGGCAAGGAACAAAGCCCTTCATTATAGCTCAGAATCTTCTACCAGGGCTTTCATTGTCATCTTGCCGCATATGTGGTCTCAGGTGTGATTCCAAATGTTGAAACATTTTGGTGGAAAGTGCTTCTTTGCAGAGAGATTGGCTTTGGAGATAGACCAACTCCACTTTCTAATCCAAGGGCCTCCTCAAAGGACATCCTCACTCTCTCCAGGCACCAGGACTGCAAGAGGAGGAGACTGGCCTGGAATGATTACTGAGAAGGCTGTCTG